GAGGGAGGGGGTGGGGGAGGGGGATGTCAAATAGATTTATTTACAAATATTTACAGTATTTACAGTTTACACCTGTGTTATACGGTGTCAGAATTGAGTTCTGTCGGTTTAATGTTCTCTCTTATTTTATTATGGATTCTGTATCCACCAGTATTTTTTTGTGTTTTTTCTGTGTTTGTCTTTGGTGTCTTTCCGGGGGAGGGCCATGTTGTATCTCCATCTGGTGCCTGCGGTCTGTCCATTTATGTTTTCTTCGTACAGTATGGTTTTGATCCCTATTTTTCTTTTTATGTGATAAATTATTGGGATATTGTTTTGGTCCTGGAGGTAGTTTTTTTCGTCTAGGTATAGGAAAGCTTCTGGGGGGATGTGGCCTGTTATCAGAGTGTTTTTGTAATATGCGTTGTTAGGAAATATGCAACTGAAGATTAAGCTGTTTTCTTTTATTTTTGCTGCTTGCGCGAAGTGGTTTCTTATTAGCTTTAGGATGTGACAGTCTATGCGGTGAATGTTGGCTAGGTCGTATATTGTTTTGTTTTTTACATATTTTTTGAATCCGCTGTGTTCGGATCTCTAAGTACTCAAGCAAGCCCTGATGCATTTTCTTTCGAATATGCGGAATTTTCTTTCGAATATGCCGCTGTGTGGAAATCGGATAGGTTTCGGAGGTAGAGAGCATGTTTACCTGAGTGTATCCTTTTGATATGGAATTGATTGATGTTGGATACTTTCTCTATGAGCGTTACTGTGTCCTTTTACTTTCTCTATAAGCGTTACCGTGTCCTTTGGGTCTTGTAACGTTATGTCGATAGGCGGCGGTTTGTATTCCCTTGTAGTGGATGGGGCCTTCGTACGCTCCTCTGCGGTGTATCTGGTGGGGTGTCCGTCAGGTGCCCGGGCCCCCCGTGGTGATGCTGGTGGCACTGGGCCTCCTGGGTTGTACAATGAGGCCTGTCGCCCCTGCGGTGTTGATTGCTTTGGCGGTGTGGTGGGTCTGTGTTTTCCCATTTTGCCACGTAATAGTTGGCTTTTTTGTCTTATTTGCTCTAGCGTTGAGTTTGATGTTGGGTAGTTTGCTGGTCCCGGCTGTGATTATGGATGTGGTTCTGATTCTAGCAAGCTAAATCTGTTTTGTGTTGTGATCGCTGGGGGCGAGGCAGCTTTTATGGGTCTCATGTTTCTGGCTTTCTTAGTACTTTCGTCCTGGGCGGAGTACGTACTTGGGCGGGGAGATACTCTTGTTTTGTGCTTTTTTAGGATTTCTTCTAATCCTTTGGTTCTGGCAACTAGGTTTGGTTGGGGGTTGAGTTTCCGCGTCTTTTGCGCGGAAAGTCTTAAGCTATTGATTTCCTTGGCCGCTTTTTGCGGATTTATTTTTCTTTTGATGGGTTTTCTTGTTAATTCTAAGGTGGGTTCCGTTGCCTTGCTTTTTGCATCATTCTCGGTAACTTCTATTTTTTTACATACTTTTATTTTCTTATATTTTTTTAAATTTTAATTTTATTTTATTTTTATTTATTTTATTATTTATTTATATTATTTATATATATTTAATATATTTATATTTAATATATTTATTATTTATATTATTTATTTATATTATTTATTCCTTGCTAGGAATTATTGTGTTGTTAATAGTGACCTGGGGGCAGGTTTGTTTTCGGAGCGTGAAGGTTACATGTGAGCATTTTTTTTCGTTAATTTTGAAGCCCCATTTATGAAACCACTTTTGCATGTAGTCGAGACATCGCTGGAGAGTGGATGAGGCAATTACCGGGTCTGCGTGGGTAGCTAATAGCGCTGTGTCGTCAGCAAATGTTGCTATTGTTATCTCGTTTGATATAGGTAAGTCGGCAGTGTAGATGGAGAACAGTAGGGGTGCGAGAACACTACCTTGGGGTATGCCGGATTCTATTGGGAATGTTGCGGAAGTGGCGTCTAGGCATTTAACCATGAATTGTCTATTGGTTAGGTAGGATTTTAGAATGGAGTAGTAAGAGTGAGGTAGGATCTTTTTAAGCTTGTATAGTAGCCTTTCATGCCATACTTTGTCGAATGCCTGTTGAACGACATCTAAATGAGAAGAAGAAAATACAGCAGTACCCCGGCGAGCGAGATCTACAGCCAGCAGCTATAATTATCACGGATATATGAAAGAAGAAAATGGAGAAGATGGAGAGAGAAGGAAAAAAAAAGTGTGTTTTGTCCAGAGCCTGCTAGTGGACTCATCAGTAAGGTTACCCAGCAGGCTCATGCCTTAGACACAACAAGAGAAAATAAAGCGTGAGTGTTTCGTCTTAGGCTGCTAGTGGAGGACTCCTCAGTAAGGCAGACCTATACGTTAGACACTCGGATAAGAAAAGTTGTGTTGGAAGTTATATTTATTGAAACAAACAGTGTCAATGTGACCACTAGTGAGAAAGCATTAACATCGCTAGCCCTGTGTTGATATCGATGACCCTCTGGTGACAAGCGTAAGACGTATTCTACAAACGTGTAATTTAAACTAAATCATTGTGATGAGTTATAAATAGATTGTACATTTATAGTAAATTTAAAAGTGTAGAAATGCACAGATTGCATAGAATAATGTGCAAAGATATCGAAAATATTGAAAGTAAAGTTTCTGCTATAATGTTAAAGATTAACATAATAAATGAGTTATGATACTTAATTGTATTGAATGAAAGAAATTTCTATTTAAGTTCAATTTCCATAATTGTATTTCTGTAATAGTGTTAAATAAAGCTACGAATTTATATAAACATCCACGCTCTAATCATAATAGAGTATCTAATATAAATAAAATTAGAAGGGTATGAAACAGAATATCGGACCTTAGGGAATTCCTGTTTACATATCGTGTTAACGATATTTCCTTTTTTTCAAAGGAAAAAAACTAAAGAAAGAAATGCACGCTGTAATGTTTCTAGCCTGATGTTCTCTTTCTTTTTCCATATTGTTTACGTACAAAGCATCGTTATGAATCGAACTGTTGAATCTCGGTGACAAATAACAGGAATTACGTGCTGGGTGCGAGAAGACCTCTATTTGCGCGTTCAATTGCCCGCGTTAGAATATCACGGTTCGTACATCCTATACATCTAAACAATTTTCAAACATGAAATTACACAGAAATATATGTCGATGATATTTGTCATTCCTACGATCTATTTCGCATGATCGTGCTTCTTTCCTAATGCAAATTCAATTTATAATACGAACTAAGTTTCCTTTATTGTTGTCAGTTCCGCGTCTTTCTAAATTGCCACAGTTTTTCGCTCTTTGTTGCAAAACATTGAATCATAGTGTGAACCAAGTTTCTTTTATTAGATTCATTGACCGTTATCAGTCCTGCGTCTTTTCAGTTCGTCACTGTTTTATTTTAGGACGATGACTGGCTTCAATATACTGTTCGCATGTTTGACGTTAACCTTTTGAGTGCTGGATACTCCCGACGAAAGCAATCCGCGTGGATGGCACGCGCTTAGCGCTTGCGATGATTGAAGACGGAATACTTTTTTTGCTAGTGTGAATTGTGTTAATTGAATACGCATGGCGGAACTAAGTTATAATTGTAATTTCTGTACACCAAATGAAATAATAGTTCATAGATAGATATTTATTTATTAGTTAGTTATTTTCGAACATTAATTATTCTATTAAAAACATTAAAGTTTAAAACATATTTAAACTTGAAATTGTGTTAATGAATCTAAATATTTGAGTCCAATGAATATAACAAAAAATATGGAAAGTTCTTTACTTATATTTTAAATAACGAAATATTTAGTTTTAAATCACATGCGCATTACATCTACACTAGATTCATTTCACAAAATAAAAACTTTTATGTATATTAATAAAATTAAAATTGTTTAATTATTTTTGTTGAGATATGTATAATTTTCTGTGCTGGGCTGGGTGAAATGCGTAGTAGAGATACTTGTATGCGGGTATCGGTGTGTGGTGGTATGTGTGCGCGCGGCGTCTCGAAACAGATGAATGTAAACTATTCAGTCGGTTATCGGTCGGGTATAGGAGAAAGTGTCGAGACGCGCGCAAGTGTGTATCCATGAATATATAAGAAATCGTCCATGAAATAAGTATCTAACTATTTTAATATTAATTCCAAGTGTAAATTTAGTGTTCCTGTAACATTATTTCGGCTTCAAAGATCCATAATGTTAACAATTTTCTAAAAACTTTGAGCAATTCAAATCCACTTAAATTAGAAGTTAATTTGGGTGTGGTAAGTCTCAAAACAATCATCGATACATAAACCGACATCGCATTTTCTGCATTCATATCGCGTATCACTTCGTTTTTTATGTTTCGCGCAAACAACGCATTTTCTTCGTGCTAATTGTGCCTTGTCTGTTTGAAATGAACATTTTGATAGAAAATGTCCCCCTGTTAAACGAAACGGTATATCTTTTAAATCTTTTTTACCACAACGTTTCTTCCTTGTGGATATTTCCGTAAAGTATCTTTTATCAGTGCCAAATGAAATTCATTAAATTTTTGTTTCGTACCAGTAGAATTTTTGTATAGGATATATGCATTGTATATTGCTAAATCTAGCAAACGGAAAAAAGTTTCTTATACCATTTTATGGTTTTCCTTGTAGAATTAAGTCAACTTTGTCTACAGCACCCATGTAAGAGTTATAATCTGTAATACACGATGGTTTGGTTTTCTTTAACCCTGTTCGATAGTTTCGTTTTTCCGTTTCAATCAACCTAGCTGCCTGTACAGTGGATAGCATCCAGACATCCTTCTTGTCACGCCATTTCATCGTCAATAAATTATTTGTAGATCGGTAACAAATTTCACCTTTCTTCAAGCTTCCTTCCATACGGGGCATTTTGCTCCTATTTTTACGAATAGTTCCGAATGCATTGGTTTTGTGGGCTTGTATACCAATTGTCCGTAATTAACGTATGACCCTTCTCAAAGTACGGTTGAAGGAGTGTCATAACAACGTTTCCAGAAATCCCAAAGGTCGAAGTATTTTGATTTATCTCTGTCTTTTTTCCAGTATAAATTATAAAATCCAAACTAATTAGTTCTACAGTCGCAAAGAACAAATATCTTGATACCAAACCTGCTTCTCTTAGAAGGTATAAACTGCTTAAAATAACATCTGCCTTTATATAGTACGAGGCTTTCGTTGATGCACAGATTTTCATATGACTGTGAAAAGGATTTCTTCAGTTCGTCGAGTACTGGTCGTATTTTTATTATCGGGTCATCGTTTATTACGTTATGATCATTGAAGTTTAACATTTGTAATAATAACATGTACCTGCCTGGTGCTATTATTTTCCGGAATATACTGGTTTTCAGCATTTCATCGGTGGATCAATACTCCCTCAAAGAGAGTTTCCTTACCCGCGACATTAGCATTATAGTACAGAAAAATCTGTACATTTCGCAGACTGAGTCATTCTGCCAATTGTTCAAACGCGAATTCGTTTTACATGCTTCATGATCTTTTACATTCTTGAAGTAGTTGTTCGTCTGTTCGGTAATTTGAGAGACCAATTCCTCCGAGAAGAAAATTTGGAAAGCATCAAAAGGTGTTGACTGTGCGGTCAAATGCACTTTTATTCCGGAATTTCCATCGTCAAAGATATGTAATATAGGCGTCAAATTCTTCTTCGTCCACAAGAACATTTCCGTCCGTTTTCTATTTTTATTTCTGCGTGTACCTAATCCATTATTTATATAGTTTTCCACATCTTCTTCGGAGTCCGATGAATTGTAATTTTCATTTATTTCACTATCTCTTGTAGTATATTCTTCAAGATTATTCGACATTTTTTAATATATTAAAAATAAAAAGTAATACAATGATTTATATAAACGTCAAGGAGGTTGAAAATATTGATAAACATATATATGGGTCCTTAGTCCACACAGATAGACTCTCGCTGTACTTGTATATGCGTCCATAGCACTCAAAGGGTTAATTGTCCTCCTGCATCCATCAGTTCAAGCGGGGCGCACTAAAGGTTTGCACTTTAAGTTGTCTGCAGTTCCGAAATTTTACGGGTTTGGTAGTTATGAGTGAAAAAAGCGGTCACGCGTGACCACATAAAATTGAAAGGAACACGTTTGATTTTTTATTTTCGAGATGGTCACGAAGTTAATGGGAAAATTCCACCTAAGTATTCACTTCTTCACCGGTTTTGTTTCTGAAAAATGCTTCCTTAACTTCGCGAATATTCCAACGACTCGCTTCACGTACAAAACAAATGTGATAACCAGGATAATCGTGAAACAACCAGCGAAGACGAATTAATTCATCACTCTACTGTCAATTCTCTAAATATAATAACTTCTTTCACTATAAATGTTTTATAGCAACCTCGGATGTGCCCTTGCGTCCACCACACTGTGGTTTCAGCAACGTTACGCATACCAGGGTGGTTGGTGGTAGACCAGCTAAACTTGGTACTTTTTATCTATTCCTTTCCGATTAATAATAAGCGATATACTATGAAGGATGAAATTGAAAGGCACTAATCAGCACATCAAAGTACGTTTCAATTAAATTATATAATAATACAACGGTTTCATTGGTAGTAACTTTGTTTATTAACTTGAATTATTTCCTCCTTTTAGTTCATGTTAGAAAGAATATGTTTTTACTTGAAATTAAAAATCGACATACGAGTAATGATACGGATGGCGATCAAAAAGTGTTCGGGAAGAAATTACATATTCGAACTTTAGAGTTCAATATACTTCAAGTGGAAACTGTATAGAATTAATTAATAAGTGTTGTTCCATTGAAGTCAAAATTCAATTTCTCTCTTAATCAAATTTCTATCTGAGAGTTTGCATCGTCGAATGTCCAATGGATAACAACAATTTCTAACTCATCACGCGAGAAAAAATTATGTATGTTCACAACTATGTCTATTGCATTTTAGGTGCTTGGCCATGGATCGCTGCAGTAGGATTCCGTAATTACTCAAACCCGCATTGGGTAACACAATGGCTGTGCGCAGATACCCTAATATCGGCTAGGCATGTTTTGACCGCAGCACATTGTGCAGATAACGATGATTTGTACGTGGTTCGTATCGGGGACAAATCTAAAACGAGATGACGACGGAACGCACCCTATTCAAATAGAAGTCGAATCTAAACTAATACATCCCGATCATTCTGCCGAGTCGAACAATAATGATCATTGTCATTAGTTTCTCGAGTACCTAACTACCACGGTTACTTGTCCGGTTCTATAACAATTGTAATATCGTAGAATAGCTTTGATTGGAGATCGGCTGAAATTAGAAAACACCGTGTACGTCGTCTTTTTGTGGTTTGTTTACGTCCAAGAGCGCCTAGTAACAGTGACACGAGAAAAGATAAGCGCGTCAAAACAAAGGTACGGTTTCATATTTCAAGGAGTGGCGATCGAGAGGCCAGAGTATGTGAGCCGAAAAGTGTGTGTGTGTGTGTGTGAGAGAGAGGACGAGAGCAAGAGCGAGCACGACCGAGCAGGAATGCATTGGCGAGGGTCAGAGTTGATCGAGACGTCGAAGCATAGAGTCGTTAGAATTGAGTTGCGAGTGTTGTCGAGTGTCAGAGTTGCTAGTGAGAGAGAGAGAGTTACCAAATAGTCGTCAAGTTATTTGATGTAAATACGAGCGTTGCATTTAGTTTTCCTGTTAATCAAACATCGTTTCTCTGTCTAACTAATATCTGTATTTTCAATCCATTATTAATAAATTATAATTAATCGGACAAAATTACACCTTTAATATATTCCGATATTACAATATTGCTATTCTTAAACTGAAGGACAATGTTCCATTTTCGGGCAAGTCTTTAAATATTGTTGAGTTTCTAATATTTATGCTGAGTATTGCTGAAACTTCTTACTGCACACATATATTGTATCATAAAGCATGTTCAATTCTTTCTCCTACTTTTCGTCATTCGTTTCCTTCACTTTTATTTATTTTCTTATTTTTCAGAGTACATACATCCCATTTGTCTCCCCATAGAGAAATCCCTTCGAAATAAAAACTTCGTGGGCTATAACCCCTTCATTGCTGGATGGGGAGCATTAAACTTTAGTAAGTGATATCAGTTTTATGATAAAATGAAATACTTTCATTCTTAAATGTCCTTCCCATTTTCTTTGTAGATGAATCATATACTAACGCATTAATGGAACTGCAACTGCCAGTGGTTACCAACGCCGTATGTGAGGATTTTGACATAACTATCACCAATAAAGAAATATGCGCCAGCGGAGACCCTCGAGGTGGAAAGGATGCTTGTGGAGTAATTACATTACAGATTTACTATAAATTATACGGTGTCTGAGGACATGTCAATTCGAATCAACATCAAATCAACGTCTTGAACATAAAAAATAATAGATAAACACAATTTAATAGTTTTGCCCATTTCTCACACATAATTATGGTCTTTAATCTAATCTCCTTCTAATCTTAATTTTTTTCAAAATACATACAATATATACATTCTAAATTGGAATATTTCAATACATAAGTCAATAATAGATTATTACTGTATATAAGTATAATTTCAATACAATTCGATTGAAATATTTCAGTAACTATGATTAAAAATTTAACGATCATTTCAGGCTGACAGCGGAGGACCACTGATGATACCACAGCAATTCACCTACTATCAAATAGGTGTTGTGTCATCTGGTCATAAATGCGGCGTACCTGGTTATCCGGGCATTTACATGAGAGTTACGTCGTACCTCGACGACTTCGTTATCCCAGTGTTACAAAATTATTAGTATCCCATAAATATCATTCTTCGTGCACGAAAAATAAAGTTGGAATGTATTATTGTGGAGATAAGAGGCAGCTCAGATTTATATTGTCTTTTACGTCAAGAATTATAGTCTTAAAAGTGTGTGACCTGGGCCAGGCAGAGGGTCGCCCGGCGTAACATACGGTGTCTGAGGGTACATAGTTTTCCTGTTAATCAAACATCGTTTCTCTGTCTAACTAACATCTGTATTTTCAATCCATTATTAATAAATTATAATTAATCGGACAAAATTACACCTTTAATATATTCCGATATTACAATATTGCTATTCTTAAACTGAAGGACAATGTTCCATTTTCGGGCAAGTCTTTAAATATTGTTGAGTTTCTAATATTTATGCTGAGTATTGCTGAAACTTCTTACTGCACACATATATTGTATCATAAAGCATGTTCAATTCTTTCTCCTACTTTTCGTCATTCGTTTCCTTCACTTTTATTTATTTTCTTATTTTTCAGAGTACATACATCCCATTTGTCTCCCCATAGAGAAATCCCTTCGAAATAAAAACTTCGTGGGCTATAACCCCTTCATTGCTGGATGGGGAGCATTAAACTTTAGTAAGTGATATCAGTTTTATGATAAAATGAAATACTTTCATTCTTAAATGTCCTTCCCATTTTCTTTGTAGATGAATCATATACTAACGCATTAATGGAACTGCAACTGCCAGTGGTTACCAACGCCGTATGTGAGGATTTTGACATAACTATCACCAATAAAGAAATATGCGCCAGCGGAGACCCTCGAGGTGGAAAGGATGCTTGTGGAGTAATTACATTACAGATTTACTATAAATTATACGGTGTTTGTTCGACCAATCGCGGGGAGACGTAATCGCGAGGAGAGACGTCAACGGGGGTCGTAAATCCCCGTTACGATTATAACAATCGACACCACGAATCGATCGATCCCCTGATTTCCGTTGAGATAATAAGGGGTGATTGAGTTTGTATAACACTGTGATTCACAGAATTATAAATTATACATTTCCAACACTTAGATTACACTGATGAGCATAGATAGATAGATAATCACTTATTGCACGAAGATAAGATAGATATGTACGTTAGAGCAGGGCTCTTATAATTAGATTTAGTGTATTAGTGGACGTAGCACTATAAGATATTTAGGAGAGGAAATGTATGCTCGACAATACCGAGACCGACTCTCGCGTTATGCTTAGACTGCCCCGATAGGCATTAG